ACCACGAAAAAAAGTCTGGAAGCTTTGGTTTGAGGTGCAGTTTTGGGACAGCCTGGGAACCTCTTGAGCAGGAAGGCCTTTCTGTGATGGCTCCTTTAGTCTGGCAGGAATCTACATTTACGTTCAATTTTCCAGGAGGTGGGACCGGCCATTGCAGCGCACGGCAGAAAAAAGGGAACAGCAGCTCTTCCTACCAGGAAAAAAAGTCTGGAAGCTTTGGTTTGAGGTGCAGTTTTGGGACAGCCTGGGCACTTCTTGAGCAGAAAGAGATTTCTGTTGTGGTACCTTTAGTCTGGCAGGAATCTTCATTTAGAGTAAATGTCCCAAGAGGTGGTACAAGCCAGCGCAGGGCAGAAAAAAAGGGAACAGCAGCTCTTTCCACCAGGAAAAAAAGTCTCGATCCTTTGGCTTCAGGTGTAGTTGTTGGGGCAGCCTGGGACCTTCTTAGGCAGCAAGACCTTTCTGTGGTGGCACATTTTGTCTGGCAGGAATCTTCATTTACTTTCCATTTTGCAGGAGGTGGGACCGGCCATTGCAGCTAGGGATGAAGAAACGGAACAGCAGCACTTTTTAGCAGGAAAAAAAGTCTGGATCCTTTGGCTTCCGGTGTAGTTGTTGGGGCAGCCTGGGCACTTCTTGAGCAGCAAGAGCTTTCTGTGGTGGCACCTTTTGTCTGGCAGGAATTTTCATTTGGATTTAATTTTTCAGGAGATGGGACCGGCCATTGCAGTGCTGGGCAGAAGATAGGGAACAGCAGCTCTTTCCACCAAGAAAAAAGTCTGGAAGCTTTAGCTTTGAGGTGAAGTTTGGAGTAGCCTGGGCACTTCTTGAGCAGGAAGATTTTTCTGTGCTGGCACCTTTAGTCTGGAAAAAATCTTTATTTAGAGTACATTTTCCAGGAGTAGGGACTGGCCATTGCAGCGCAGGGCAGAAAAAAGGGAATAGCAGCTCTTTCCACCAGCAAAAAAAGTCTGGATCCTTTGGCTTTGAGGTGCAGTTGTTGGGACAGCCTGGGCACTT